CTTTCTTTCTTTCTTTCTTTCTTTCTTTCTTTCTTTCTTTCTTTCTTTCTTTCTTTCTTTCTCCCCCATCCCTTTCCAGCCACCTTTATTTATTTGTTTATTTGATTTGTCAATCTCTTACAAGATAATAGGTGTAAGTATAAACATGAGTAAGAATACAAGAGATAGGTACAAATAAATGGGGACAATAGGACAGGGACGGGAGGCACAATGGTGCACTTATGCACGCCCCTTACAGACCTCTTAGGAATGGGTGAGGTCAATAGTGGATAGTTTGAGGTTAAAGGAGTGGGGGTTACAGGATGTAACAGCAGAGTCAGGTAGTGCATTCCAGGCATTGACCACTCTATTGCTTCACTGTAAGTTACTTAAGTTTCTCATTAAAAAGCAGCTCCTTTCTAACTAATAGCTCTCCTATACTAAAGCTCTCATCTGTCCATATTTAATACTTCTCAGCTCTATATTTTTCTGGGAATGCTAAAATGTGGCTAACAGCCTTGAGGAATAACTGTGACTTGTATAGGAAGCTGTTTCCTATCTAGGGTTCTGCAGACTGAAAAGCTCCTTCTTTTATTGAAATTACTTTTGGGAGAGAGAGGGACAAAGAAAAGATTCTGGCATTCATCATCTGGATCTTAATAGCAAGTATGTTAGGAGTATAACAAACATTGATTCGGCATTAATTATCATAGTATTACTGGGTATTTCTAGAAGATTTAGATATAATGATTTGCTATTTTTCCTGACATGTAGACTGCAGTAGCAAAGAAATGTATTAAAGCAATTGGAGCATTTTGACACAGTAATTAAAGTGCTGGATTTTGATGGGGTAGATTCATGTTGAACTATAGACTTCATGTATGACCTATTCCAATTTGCAACTCAATCTATCCCAGACAGGATTTGCTGTTATGCTGATTAAAAGGGACATCCTTATGTAAACTGTATTGCATACTCAAATGAAAGGTGAGTTTTAAAATAAAGGTCAACAGTCATGTCCATATTTGCCTGTAGTTACTCCTCCCTGTAGATTGGTAGAGCTTACCAAGAGATCCCACTGGCTTATGTAAGGTTTATTGTATGGTTCTCAGGTTCTCTCAAAGAATAGACTTTCAGCCTTTGGATAGTATCAGGTTAATGTTATTGACAGGTGATTTGACAACACCAAAACAAATTTGAAATAATCAGCAGTAGTTCCTGGTAAAAATCATGTGATGGATCCATAATATGCCATCAAACATGTTCCCAACAAACTGTATTGAGTATGTTATCTGAAAACAGAGACAATAGCATGGTTGATGACAATAGCATGGATACTGTGCAACATAAACATAATGAGATATTTTGTTGGACAACCTGGAGGGGACACTTGTTTAATATAAATTGTAAGGATACAAGCGACAAATTTACAGTCATACAAGTGAGAGGGGATGGGTGATAAGGAATGATAAGAAGATTAATAGTAAAAATACTATTAATAGTAAAAATAAAATTAAAAATATCTTGGAACAATTAAACAGTGAATACTGATTTTGTGTTACATTGTGTTACTAAGAAGACATTGCAACACAAATGTCTTCTTAGTGAAAGAAAATCTTATATTAATTAATCTTCATCAAGGCTTATATGGGTAATGCAATCTGTACTAAACCTTTCTTCATTTAAATTATATGTAAACATAATTCTTCTGTATTGTATATATGTCACTGGATTTATTGTACTAGTATCATATATAAATTAAAATCCTTTTCCTTTAAAAAGGTCAAATATACTTATTACATAGAATATATTAATGAAAGTGGTTATGTTAAAAACAGTGACATATTTAAATGAATCAGAAAATGCCAGGTTTCTATTTTTAAAATTCATAGGTCCATCCCATTTATTTTAAAATTTCATACAGAAAAACAGTTATGCATGTGAATTTTACTTATATATTAATCTTAAACTTATATCATTGAGTCTTTGACACTTGTATTTTAAAATAATCTTTAATATTCACAGTATTTTCAAGGAAATTATGAAACATCTGAAAAAATAGGGTATGAGGTATTTTATCTATCTGCCATGTCTCATCTCTATCTTTCAATAGCAAGTCAATAAAAGTGATTAGAGTTGCCATCTCAGAATGCACACCCTTAAACCATATAACCGTAATACCGAAAAAGGTCCCCAACTCACTCATCTTTTCAAATTACATCCAAACTGTCTGGGGAACTTCTCAGTGACTAGAGGTAAGACAGTTTAATCTTTTTCTCCTGCCTCAAATTTAGCTCACTGGAAATCTTTTCTTTTTTTTCTCTTTTCCTTATCATAGCCTTGGTGCCTTTTTCATACTGCAATCTATGCATTTAATTTTGGTGTGTCTATCTGTTTTTGTTGCTTTATGCAGCTCATAAGATTTTGTTGTCCTGAAAGCTGCAACTATGAAACTTCCACTGTTTATTCCACTTTAGCATGGGAAATTATGCTGGTATGCTTTTGTTTGGGGTGCCGGGAGGCTTGTTGAATCTGAATGCTTTTAGATTTCATCTTCACCTTATATCACAGCTTTCACCAGCCTGCATGATTTATGCTTCACTTGCTTTCTTTCATTTTATAAAATTCCTTTCATTCTGTTGCTCTGCCATTGCACTTTCCACAAAATTAAGAATGGGGAGAGGGGAAAAGAGGAGTTTAAAGTTAGGTATGTTAAATTTATTTTTCTTTAATTACTATTTTGGGAGTTCAAAATGTGATTGATACAGTGCTTCAGTGGGTAAATGAGTCACCAGAAAGAGACACACAAATGGATGTTACTCAAATTATTCCTTTTGTAAGAGAAATGAAATTGAATACAATTTACTACCAGTAAATAGAACTATAGAAATTCAGTGTAGACTTAAAGACAATACAGTTCTTTGTATTCTATGTAGTAAATATTTTTGTATCTTAATGTAGGACAAGAGATCAATGAAAAAAAACCTTTAGAGACTCATCCATGTACATAACCAATGCTTGTTTCGATGCACTTATCCAATTCAAACTTTCTTGAATCTTCTGAGTTAGATTTACACTAATTGTACATTTAATCTGTGACTTCCAGTTGTCCACAACTATAACTTAATCTGGACTCTTGGAATTCATGTTTATATATTTGGGGGGGCAGAATCATATATCTGCATATGTGCTTCATCTAATATGAAAGGAATGCAGAATCTTCATTTCTCAAACATTCAGAAGTACTGTTTTTTATGAGAAAAAGATGCCTTCTAGAAAACTAGAAGCAGTTTCAATACAAGTATCAAACATACAGTATATATGGAATTATTCATACTACTTTATAATTTTTTTGTATTTCTGTTTTGTGAAACTGGAAATCAATCTATTTCTCATAGTTAATAGGTTACATCTTATTAGCACTGTTTTATTTTCAATCACATCAGTATAGTTCTGTGGAAAGATATAAGATATAAATTGTTTTGAAGAAATTATTTTGGGCTTTGCATGAGAAACTAAAATTCAAATCCATTGCCAAATATTCACTTTTTGAATTTTAAAACAGAACATAATGTTATGTTATATGGAATGCAGACAAAATGTGCACATTATATAGGTAAATGCATTTTATTTTGGACAAAATGCAGGAAAATAAATGTAAATATTTCTGTGATATTGCAGAATATTTTAAACAGATGCAGAAACAATATGGCGGATTTTAATAATAATACTTTATTTGTGGTCACAGACCAAAACACAAGTACAACAAAAGAAGAACATGGGAAAATTAGTCATGAACAATTGGTCACCACTTGACTAAGGGGAATTACAGCGTTCTCCTCTGATGGTTACAGCTCTTTAAAAAAAATTGGAAACCTGAGAAGTGTTGTATGAGGAGCCATCCCCTAGACAATATAAGAACAAATTACTAACATTGGGTCTAGAAGGGTCTGTTTCAAGGAGAGACAGTAACTTAAATCTGCCTACGTTATACATAGGGCAATATAAAAGGACATGCTCCACAGTTTCAACCTAGCTCTGTCAATATGGCGGATTTTGTGTTTGGCAAAGTAAATCAGACAAAAGCAAACAACAAACTCTTCCATCCCTATCTTTGAAATTGAAGCACCAATAATATATTGGCCATAAATATGCCTATAATCCTGTCAAGCATTTTAAAGATTTGAATTCAGTGTATCTCTTCATTCATAATGTTTGCTGAACCCTTCTCCCTTCTAGCAAGCCAATCTGTGACACTTTTCAAATGATAATAGCACATCAGTATCATAAAAGTACTATGATTTTTGGCCTTCATGGCCATTATGGACCTTATCCAAGTCATTGTGGGCCCAATGCATAATGGGAAGTTCAAGATTAGACCTGTTTTATTTCAAGACAATTGAGAAGTGGTCTTGTTTTGAAGAGCATTTGTATCATTCCTTTGCTGTGGACAGATCACTTTCCAATTGTTTTTTGTTTAGCACTACCCTAAGGGAACATCCTAGGCAAATGATGGACCTGCTTGCATTCCAGAAGAAACATGGGGTTATCCCGAAGGGTCCAATGGACATTTCAGCTGAGGCCTTAGATACAACCTAGAATAGGCAGGTAGAGATGACATTTAATTGGATCGCCCCATGTAGATTGATTCCTCTTCACCTGCCAATAGCTTATGGCATTATTAAAAGTAACCCAAATCCTGTGGGGAAGGGAGAAGTAGTAGGATCTTCTGTGTGGAATATTCTTACTATTTGTGAGATAAAGGTCACTCAGATTTGTCTACAATTGGATCCTGATTGGACAGGTCTAAATAAGAGGCTGGACTGAGTTTTAATTTATGACTCCTAAGGAAGTGGCTAGGTCTCTCCAGCCTGTTGGCTCAGGGGCCTGTTAGATCATCCTTCTCCTGGATGATGAAAGCCACCTGGGATATAAAATAGAACAGAATACTTTATTGGCCAAGTGTGATTGGACACAAAAGGAATTTGTCTTTGTGCAAATACTCTCAGTATACATAAAAGAAAAGATACATTCATCAAGAGACAAGAATCATAAGGTATAACACTTAATGATAGTCATAGAATATAATAAGCAATCAAATCATACTAGGAAACAGTCAATAAAAATTGTAAGGATACAAGCAACAAAGTTACAGTCATACAGTCACAAGTGGGAGGGGATGGATGTTAAGGAGTGATGAGAAGATTAACAGTAATAGTAGTGTGGACTTAGTAATAGTTAAACAGTGTTGAGGGAATTATTTGTTTAGCAGAGTGATGGATTTTGGGAAAAAGTTGTCCTTGTGTCTAGTTATTCTGGTGTGCAGTGCTTTATAGCATTATTTTGAGGGAAAGAGTTGAAACAGTTTGTGTCTGGGATGTGAGGCGTCTTAAATACTTTCACAGCCCTCTTTTTGATTCATGCAGTATACAGGTCCTCGATTGAAGGCAGGTTGGTAGTAATTGCTTTTTCTGCAGTCCTAATAATATGACCTATAATTGGGTTAGTGTGATTCCTTAGGTGAGAAGGTGATCCCTTTGGCTTTCAGAGAGGCTGTGATATTTCTTTTCCTCAAGGAACCATTCCTGGACCCAATGGTCCTGAACAATTATTGTCCAAATTCCAGATATCCCTTATTAGGGAAGAATCTAAAGAAGATAATCAGGATTTAGTTCCAAAGATCTCCTGAAGAAGCAGATTATCTTAGTTAAGAGATTTATGTGGTTTTCAGGCCAGTGTTTAGTATGGAGACAGCATTGGTCATGCTTGTTCATGATCTGTAATGAAACTCGAATTAGATGGTGCTGTAATGATGCATTCATCATGATACTCATTTTTTCAGTTGCTTTCAATACTGTTAGCCACAATAACCTTTAGACCAGTTTCAGAGGTTGGACATAGGAGGTCCCACTTTGCAGTGGTGGTCTTAATCTGTGGCCAGTTTCAATAGGGTTGACAGTAGGGAGAAATTGCAGCTGCAGCTCCTTGCTTGTGGGATGCTACAAGATTCTATACTCTTTCTCCTTAACATCTACATGAAAAGGGCTCTTTTTCTGTACTTCAAACCAAAACTTTGCATTCAGAGGTAACCATTCAGGCTTTCATCTATGTGAAATAGTATCTTAAGAGATAGCCTGAGAAAAACATCTTCCTTAAACCTAGTGATTTTCTGTATATCACGAGATAGAACAGGGATGTCAAACTTGAGTCATCCCGTGATGTATTGGGACTTTTTTCCCCTTTGTTAAACCAGGTGGAACGAGCAGGTCATGTATCCATCCCACAGGCCACGAGTTTTAACACCCCTCAGTTAGAATGATAATTTTGTACCATCATATTTGGAGAGGGACTATTTATTCAATGGTAGAAAACATAGTTCATACAGACTCCATAATTCAGTCCTTTGCAAGTCTATTTAAAATATTTCAGGACTATAGAGATATCTGTACAGGTTATCAGAGTTTATTTATAACAACAGTGTCATTTTAAGTGTGATGCTAACTAAAAAAATGCCATACAGTCCACAGCAAGTCAAAAAAAGAAGAAAGATTTTAAATATAAAAAGTGCAATACAACTTAGGTTTCCCCTGTCCAGTTATTTATGACTCTAGGGGGCAGTGCTTATCTCCATTTCTTAGCCAATCTTCATTGTCTGAAGATGCCTCTGTGGTCATATGGCTAGCATGACTATAAGTCAATGCGCATAGAACCCTGTTTCCTTCTCACCAAAATGGTACCTATTTATCTACTCGTATTTGCATGCTTTCAAACTGCTAGGTGAGCAGGAGCTGGTGTGAGGACAGGAGTTCACCCCCATCGCATGTGCTCAAGTCTTGAATCCTGGGCTCTCGGTTTTCCAGCTGATAAGCTTTATTTTTTTTAACTTCTGAGCCATTGCTCTATAGTACAAAACAACTTAAATCATGCTTTATTGACTTATCAATATTAAACTCAGATTCACATTATAAACTTATAAACCAGAATTGTAAAAAGTGAATTCTATTTTTTTGCCACCTCAATAGAAAACAAGGTCATTCATTCACACAGTGGCATAAGGTTTTGTGTATGTACAATTTGCAAATATCTAAAATAAATCATTTTGCCATCTCTCCAAGTATGATGTGATCAAGAAGCTCCGTATGGAATTAATATTTATTATACATTCCACTACAACATCTTGCAGTCAGAAAAATAAGACAGCATTCTACTGCAGCATCCTATTTGAACTATTCTTACAGTGAATACATACCTTTAGGTAAAAAGCTAGATATAACACCTAATATTAGCACACAGGACTTAAAGAAGCATACTACTTACAAATAATATTCTGAAATTTTTCTTTTCAAAATGAAAGCTTTTTCTAAGTAATATCTATAGTTACAGTATTACTATATCTTATTGCCTTTTGCTATGTATCTCTTTACATTGATGCACTGAAAAAGATGCAGGCAACAAACCCATTTTAACAAACAGCTTATTCTCATTAGAACAAGCAGAAAGACAAACAATAGTCAGAATTTGAGTTAAGAAAATATTTTAGGATGCTGCTATAGTAAGGAGACTGATTTTGTTCCAGTTCTTGAATTCATTTTGATCATTAAATAATATATGTTCCAAGTAAGAAATGCATTTATCATTTGAACTGTCCTTGTAATGTTTATAATCTGCATATACAGAGAGAAAGAAAGATTAAAAAAACTCAAAAATTTCACAGTATTCATTACTTGCAGTTTCTGATATCTTCTCCATTTCTACAGTCATTTACTATATAAAATACAAGGATAGCCAAATCCATTGATATGCTGCATTCAAAATATGTGTATATTTCTGTTTTTCCCACACACCAATACACAAGCAGAAAACAGAACATTAGGAAAGAGACAATCCCTTACCAACTACTTAGAAAACAATACAATTCAGACTAAGAATAATTACTGTCTAGCGGATGCAATTTCTCTCTAGTTTAAAAAGCAGATGTGTTTTTGTAAAACCCTATGAATGTGGCAGACCTACCTACAGGTAGAAGAAAAAGAACACCCCTTGTTTTGTAATAAGGGGATTTTCAATTTAAAAGCGAGAGAGGGCCTGTTGTGTGAAGTCTGGTTATTACATTCATTGTATTCTGTCTCGCTCACTAGGAGGCTAATAATGAAGGAGTCAGTAAAAGAGCCAGTGCCATGAGAGTTATCTCATGGCCCCAGATGCTGGATAAGTTGAAGAAGGCAGAAATCACTTCTGGATGACATTCAGGTCTGAATGATGATTTGAAGAAGAAAAGACTATTATTTCCAAGGTAAACAGGCTGTTTCATCCATCAGCAGTATATAATGGTCTAAAATATGTTTACATGCAGGCTTAGAAAGTTCATTTTATCACATATTTTTTTTCCCTCTCTGACAGCTTCAGCAATATATTCCTGAAACAAAAGATCCACTTCAGACTCTGCCACACCTAAAAAGAAGCTTTGAGGAAATTGCCAGGCTCAAGTATGATGAGAGAATTACCTACAAAGCAGAAAATGAAAAAGGGCACATGGATACTGTGGATACTTCTGTAAAGTGCCAAAGATCTCGTACAGATATGTCTCACAAGGTGAATACTCTTAGAGTTACTTATGGCATTGAAATCCAACAGTAGCTTTCTCTTTTAGGAGCAAAGAATTTAAGCTTATTTACACCAGCATATTTCTAGACTAAAAAGCTGTCAGAACATTTGTCACTGTGTTGACAGGGAGATGTTATCCTAATGCTGTTTTATGGCAACTAATTTAATATATGCAAATGTGCACAAGTAGCCCTCAGAAGGCTCTCAGAGTGAGAGACCAAATAAATGTGTGTGCCTATATGAATGTGTGTATGTGTCTTTGTACATGTCTTTGCTTCTTTGTGGTAATGTTTGTGTCATTTACAGACTACATTTTCAAAAGGAGGCTTAGAGTTATATTGTAGTTTCAGGTTTCCCTAAAGCAAGTAAAATATACAAATGCATATAAGCTGAGCTTCACGACTGAATTTTAATCTTTAATACACGTGTAGTAAGGACATGTAAATGACATACCCAGCAATATATTAAATCAGGTTTCAGTGAAGCCAGAAAATTTCACTGATTCCACCTCCCCCTCCCAAAAGAAAAAATGCTTTATTTTTGTCCACATAATCAGAGCAAGCTTTCTGACATCCTATTTGGAAGATAATATTTTTATTTTTTGTGAAATATGCAGCTTATTCCTCCTTAATAAATCAATGAATAAAGCTGCTTTTTATTATTAGTGTCCTATAGGTCTTTGTGTCTTCCTTTTCATTTTCAGCCTGCAGTTGAGAGAAATAATTTCCTTCCTAGCCTTATAAAAGACTGACATTGCTGTGTAAAAGTATTGAAATGAAACTTTAACCAAGGGCTATATTTCTCAAATCGACCCCAAGAATAAAACAATTGAATTGGCTAAAATCCAATTTTTGTATGGGAATTTTGTTTGGCTGAACTGAAGTACAAAACCCACAAAAGTTATCTCTTTTCCTTCTCTTGCCAAAGTTAAAAATTTTTTTCTTGAATCTTATCTAAGCCATGTAATATCACCATGCCAACCTAGGATTAATCTTTAGAAGAAGGCCCAAGCATGAAAATGTTTAAAATGAGCTTAAGTCTCTTTATTGACGATCATGAATTTCGAAATAGAAATTGAATTAGATTTGTTTCCTGACATTTTTTATGAATCTTATGACATTGTATTATAAAATATGATTGATAATTTTTAAAAATAGTACCACTAATATAGATCTAACAGTGGATTAACTTCCATAAACTACATAAGGTGCTAAAATGAAATAAAAATAATATTTTAGTACATTAAAAGAACAAACATAATATAATCCAATATTATAAATAATGGGCTTATCAGGAATAAATGTTCCTCATCCAGCTCCTGCCCACCTAGTAGTTTGGAAAGCATGCAAATATAAGTAGATCAGTGCTGTCAAACTGGATGCCCCCACCCGGTTTAGCAAAGTTGGGGGAAGTCCTGATACGTTACGTGATGCTGCTATGACAATGCAAGTTTGAACTAGATGAATAATTACCATTTTGGTGGAAAGGTAACAGTGTTTCATGTGCCTTAGGGTATAGTCAGACTGGCCACATGACCATAGAAGTATCTTCGGACAACCCTGTCTACTTTAGCTAAGAAACAGAGCTGAGCACTGCTCCTTAGAGTAAGACATGACTAGATGAGGGAAACCTTTACCTTTATTAAGCTTTATCCTATAAAACAAGGATGAAAGAATTATGGGACTTCCCTTGTGTAATTATACAGTAGTTCCTTATATCTAATGCCATTGCTTTGCTGTATTAGTAATTCAGCAGTTGCTAAAGAGCCTCTGGTTTTAAAGCATCATAGAATTGTAAAACAATTGGATTTTGGAGAGGAAAATAGCAGGCACCTTGGAGAGCATCTAGCATTTAGTGCAGTAAGTTTGTAGTTTATTGTTAACATCACAAACAAAATAAAAACATATACAGAAAGATGAAGTGTTTGTCCATATTTAAAACATATTGAACATTTTTGGGAGTGCATTAATCTGGACCTAATCAGTGACTATTTGTCCTGCCAAAATGCAGTTGAATGAAAATGAAATAAGGTTTCATATGCAGTCTTTAAATCATTTGCATGTTTTATGCATGATAATTTAATTTATTTATGCACTACCTTTCATTTATGAATTTCCTGTTCTCACCTGTATTAACCATATTGTCCTAGAAAAGAAATAGATTTGATAGGCAGCCAGAGAAGGATAAGAAAACAATAAAATGGAGTAGATTTTCCATTGTAATTATTAACAATTAACAAGATAATTATTTTGCTAAGGTTAGTATCAGTTATTTAAAGTAGTACAGACTCTTTGAAGCATTTTAGATATTCTTTAGCACATGCTGTATAGAAAGAAAATTATTTCCAAAAATACTGAATGTAAGACCTTTTCTTTTCAATGAACCTAGAGACCTATGTCATTGGCCTATTAGCAGGAAAAACACATAGTATTTGATTCTTTGAAGTACTTTATTTCAGAATTTATGAATTCATAGCTTGATTTTGGAAACAACAGCTTTATTTCTTCAGCAGGATACGTAGGTGCTAGAATTTTCATGGATTTGGATATAGATGAAGGTGCTATGTGGTGTGTTTAAAAGTAATATATTTTCATCTCAGCATTATCACCTCTGTGTAAATCAGAAGTGCTCTAGTTCAACTTTTTTTATTCCAAATGTGTGAAATTTGAGCCAGCAGGACCATTGGTTATACTGACTGGCAATTTGGAAGCCATAGACAAAAGACATCTGGAGAGTACCTCTTTAGGACTGTTGTCTGGGTAGCACTCTCTGACTCAAATGTTTGAGCTGTTTGCAGTGTCCATTTAAGGAAACTAAACAGGAAAGCGTTGAGGATGCTTACAAGCTTCCAAAGATACGTTTGTAGTTGTTTTGTCTTTTGTATGTCTGTTCTAGTGCTATTTTTTGTGGTGTCCTGTCTATTCAGTGAATTCGGTGGTTGTGTGTGGTGACTGTCTCCCTATCTGTTCAGTTAGCAATCTCTCTGAAGCTTAAATTGCTGTTAATTTGTGACAGGGCGTTTTTTAAACAACTGCAATATAGTTTTGAAATGTTGAATAATGTAGCATGAAATTCTCAGTTAGTTTGGAAATGATTGTGAAATCATGTGAAGAAAATCAGTATGGCATCTGATCAAGATAAATTCACTCTAGTGTTTTATGGCTTTTTATTCCTATGTGATAGTAATAAAGTCTCATGTAGGGATGGAAGCCATGAAATACATTGTGAAAAATCATCAACTAAGATGAGCCATCAGAATAGAATCGTTATAGGACTAGAGCTGCTAACGATTATTGGAAAATTGAGTATTTGTTTTGTTGCCTTTTATGTTTGCCCTGTTTCTTCATTGCTTCATTCTTAGAGTTGGAAAGAAAGGGAAATAGTTTGTAATAATATAATTCATTTTAAGTCAGCATCAATGCTTCATATTTTAACATTTAATTTTGGTTATTAAAATGAACACTGTGCATGAAACATTGACTTATGTATATTGATCAAATAAGCCATTAATGGTATTTATCAGGTCCAGGTTTCTTTACTCCCATACTCCGGAAATGATCCTGAACTGAAGCAACAATTCCAGCATGGTGTATTGACATGATTTTTCCCCAAATTCATACTCTATTCTTTCTGACATTATATGTATTCTTGGAAGCAGTGGTTTGGGAACAGTAGAACGCATAGGAACTAAAGCGCAGCCACTTCATTGTGTTTGCACTTCTTTGAATGCATGATTTGAATGACATTTGAAATAACCATTCCACAATTTCTCCAGTATTGCTGAAATCATGCTTGGACAGATTATTAAAAGAGAATATCTTACATGTTCCTTATCATATGCACAATATCATATGTGTGATATATGTGATTCTGTTTCTATGTACTAATACATTTGGATACAGTAATCTGTCTTGTGACAAGTAGAGAGCCCATCTCCCCAACTTTTTTTACATCTACTTCTTCATAGAAGCTATAGGACTGAATTTGAAAAGCACCTCCATCTCTATTACTCCCCGCAATTAAAAGACTCAACAATTTTATTTCCACATGTCTTTCCATAGTCAATTGTTTTGATGATGCATTATCCTGAATTGAAATATATTTTGTATTACATAACACAAAACAATTTAGAATCAAATTTTGTAATTAATTACATAAAAACTAATATTTTAAAGAGGTACATATCATCCTGATTTCACCTATTCCTTAGTTAGGACATTTAAAATCGGAGCCTGTATATATTTACATTTGCATTCTTTATATATAACAGCATAGAATTGATGCAGTGTGCTGCTGTATTACAGAATCTTGGTACTTGTATGTGTGGGTATGTGTGTGATCATGATGATGATGATGATGATAGTAATGAGGGTTATATACTTATTATATTGATAATAGTAATGATAATAATATATTAATAATAATAATAACCTATGTGCTGATGATGTTACCTAATTTGGGTAATGAAATATCTGCAAGAAAAAGAACCAAACTCAGAAAGCCCCAAGGACCCCTCATTTTAAGTCTGCGCTACAAATATTCTTCTTTATTAGATGATAGTAATCTTTTCCTAATGCAAATCCAATTCCTATGGTGCTAGTTCTTGTAGAAAAGAAAGTATTCTGGGTATTCCTTATCATTTCTCTTTTGAATAAATGTTCTGTAGCTTTAGGATCATAATTTTCACTGGGAAAATGGCTTATTTTGTTATGAAGAAAGAATATTAGAGCCTAATTAAGTGCATCTCCCAACAATTTCCTTTTTAGTTTTAAATAAATTTTGTTAAGGTGAATATATATTTAATGAAACAAACTTAATCAAATTAAATACATTATATTTTAAATGCAGTGATATGCACAGTTTATCTTGAATTAAACTAGAACAATTCCTTGTAGCAAAACATACGAACAATATACTGCTATATTCATGAGTGGATATGAGAAATGAGGAAGAGGGACATAATTCACAATAATTGGAAAATTGTTTAGAAGTGTGGCTATAAGTCTTTTAGGACTAAAGTGAAGGCAAAAGTGACTTTGTAAGCAGTTGTCTCTATTCTAGTTATACAATAGTGGAAATTAAGCAGCCATTATCCTTTCTGTTTCGACAGCCAAAACATGATTTAGTGGAATAGGAAGATTTTAGCATAGAGGAATGCAAGTATTTGCATGAAGAAATAATAGAAGCTTCTTCCTCTCAGCTTACTTGTGGATATTCTCAAGCTCTTTCTTCTTCTTCTTTTCTCTCTCTTTAATTTAGATCCATTGCCTCTCAACAAAACCTGAAAAGGAATTGCTCCAAGTTAAGTGAACTAGATATCAAATTACAGATGAACTGTCTACCTCTGTCAGTATTAAGAGTTACGCTGCACAATATTCAAGGACACATCTTTACTTTACCAAGTTGCCTTTCATCTTTGAAGCTGTTTAATTCACCTGAAGATAAAGATGCCATGCAACTTATTTGCCATCAAAGTTATTTTTGGAACGTGTAACCGATAATTACTACCACAGATTGTTTGGTGATCATCCGCTAATTTATTACTTTTTATAGTTGCATAGAATGATGGGAGGAACCAGGACGGGCCTTGCCATCAGACTGATTGATCTGATTCTTTCAGATGATGGTGAGGAAGGACAGGGCATCCTCCAAAACCAAGCTCATTTGTTTACCTGTTTATCAGTGCAGTCTGCCACTCCTTGCTAACCAGTTCCTCCCTCACTCTCTGCTATGATCAGTGTCTTCTAGAATGACAAACTAGGCAATGATATTCCTTTTATCCTTCTCCAGGCTGAAATTCCTTGTTCTAAATATTTCTTCTCAATGAGGCATTGAGAGCCAGGTATAAAGCAGCACAAATGACTAGTTTCCACTGTGCCTTATTCTGAACACTTGGCAAATGTCTGCTTGATTTTACCCTGCCACAGCTAAGAACTATAGATTATTATATATTAATATGAATAATAGTATATTACTATTGTGTTTTAATACGCTCTTCTGAAATAAGAGTCATTTTTCTTTTCTTCTCTTTCCATTGTGTGGGTATAGAACAGAATTTGCAACTATGATATTTTATCAGGAGATACTCTCTGGAAGTACTCTAATGATGTGCATGCCTTCAAAAGGAAATTAGTTGAAGAGGCTTAAATTTCAATATTACATCATAACTTATCCTGAAGATAATTTGTTTAAACTACGTAAGTGTAATCCAGGAACACCAGTAAGTGAAATACAGCAGTACACTCAGAATAGCAGGAGTAACAAGGAACTATGCTTTATAGTACTATTCACTTGTTATTTGATATAATAGTGAATTACAATAATTTATGACCATGGAACTTAGCTGTGCAATGACCTTGAAGGACTGAAAGAGTACAGGGAATGTTCTTTTTGAAGAAATAAATACAAATGCAAAGCAATCAACACTACCTATATTCAAGAAATGCAAGGATTTTTAATTTGGCCATGAGATATAATATATTTTGAAAAAAATAATAATTATGAAGAATGCCCAAATTACCACAATTATGATAAGCTGTTGTAAATGGATATTATAGGTATTGTTCCAATTAAGAAAACATATTTAATATGTACTACTTGTGATTGAAAAAAAATGCATAATATTCAAAGCCTAGATCCCTCTCTCATGAGCCAGACTTTAAAATTCAGATCATTTTTCAGTTTTCTAAATTCTCTAAAATACTGTCTTGTCCTCTTATTTATTTAATAAATGCAGCCATTGTTGACTTTTGAATTGTAAATTATTTTCTACCATTATGTTTAATTATGTAATAATATATAATTTTGAAATAAATATATTTTTATGAAATCCAATCAGTGTATTATTACAATAAATAATCCTTGTATTAAATACAGACAGTGTATTATGTTAAGCTTAATTATATAAGCATAACTTTGTGATTTAGGCGATATCAAAGGTATCTGTAGAACAGCATTCCTCTGATTTTCTCCTAACATCTCTCAGCCAGACGATGATGAAGTGTAAAAAGACTTACCTAGCCATCAATTTGACATTAATATTGTGTTCTGCATGTTACACAAGTTTGCCCTATTCAAGGGACTAGGATGATTTTATACTCTATCCGAATACATTTATTGAAATGTGTCTGTGTGATATAAAAAAGGTTGCATATTCAATAAGCACATGTAATATATTCCTTTTTATGCCTTCATAAACAGGTAGGAGACTGAGAAGAAAAATGCAACGAGCAGTGATATCAGCAAAGTGCCAGGGCTGCTAAAGTCAGCTTTTCCAGTTTAAGCAACCATTGCAAGAGATGGCAGTTAGGGCAAAAGCTGACTTGGGAGCAGCAGTAGAGGAAGAGGTGGTAGAGCAGTTGTTCCTTCAATCATACCCTTTGCTCTTCTGCATTGCCCTTCTATTATGTTCTCACTTCAGTCCTATTATTAAACATTCAAGTAGGTATAGTCACTTCTGTGAAGACCTTTATTCAACAATCTGTAGTATATCTGATGCTTAAATGAAAGTGGAACATCCAGTCAGAGATTGCTTACAGTTTGGGGGGGGGGGAATTGAAGAAGAATATGAGGAAAAATGAAAAAAAAATGATGTAATCATTCATTCATTCATTTTGTAATTTACAAATAATAAGGTGGCGAAATATCCAACAAACTTTCCTCTTCCTACCGTGTTTCTCATATAATAAGGCTGGGTCTTATTTTTTTTTTGAGCCCCGAAGAAATGGCTAGGCTGTCTTTTCGGGGGTGACTTAATTCCCCCCCTTGCATCTTTGGGCGGGCAGGTGGAGATGGCTTGGATGTTGACCTCGGCGTTGGTGGGGCACTTCGTATCGGGGTCAATGCAGGCAGCACCATATCCGGGTGTGCAACAAAAGTACTTCCTAACGGCAAACCCCACCACCATTCCCCCGCATTTCGCATGTTTTAATATAGGCCTTAATTTGGGGAGAGGGGCTTAATTTCATTTCATGCCTATAAAACATGCTGGAACTTCCTATTGGGGGAGGCCGTATTGTTGGAGAAACAGGGTATTTTCCCCACAACAACAACTCTATGAGGTAGTTTGGGCTGAGAGAGAATGACTGACCAATACCATACAGCGGGCTTTCATGTATAGGCAGAATTTCAAATCATGGTTTCCTGTTTTCTAGCCCAACCCTAATCCTAATTCTCATCTTAACCACTAGCCGAACTGGCTTTATTTGTATAGTTGGAAAAATTTTGTGAAAACTTCTACATTGTTTTAGGAATTATATTAAAGATTTCCAGAAGAGTTATCAGTGTTTGTTTAGTTTGTCTAGAGATAAAAAGTCTTAATCTGACATTTATGAAATAACTATTGCATGTGTCTTCTCAACTTGCTTTTCAAAGTATATGACTGAAAGTTGGAATAACAGTCTTTTCACTCATACTAGTTTGGATTGTGAAATAACTTGGATGTACATTTGAACTCTTGAGCTTTGCTTTCTTCAAACTTTACAAATACTCCATCATCGGGTTGTAGAAAGATCACTTGAAAGACTGAAAGAAAGTGTTGGGGTTCAACAGATGGCAAAGACTCAATGCAATTCGACAGATTACTGTAAGATATTGTTTCTCATTGCTGCCAATCTGCTTCAAGAGATTCCACACAATAAGAAAACCGATTAAAGAAATGTCCTGTGCCAAGGAGCTGTCAAGCTATGAACTTACATACATTGTGAATATGTGATATAACACTTCATTTTAACACTTTCTTGGAAATTAATTAATAAAGGAATCCTTATTAAGCACCTAGTTTGTATGGTTACATTTAATCCATTCCTCCTGTTATATTTAAATTACTATTTAGTGGTATTTTTAGAGAGATCCTGAGGACTGCAATCAAGGTGTTCAGGGACTTCATGCAACCTCAAATTCTATACCTCTACTATCCTGTTGTGTAAAAAGTAGTGCATAAGATTCCTGATTTGCCACTTTCAGATATAAGTATAGAAGGAAATGTTTACAAGGTAGATAAATCATTTTTTCTCTCTTGAGCCAACTTTTTTTTAGAATAGAATAGAATAGAATACCTTTGTTGTCATTGCATTCCATGAATACAATGAAATTTGAAAGCTACTTCTTTTTGATAGGAACTATGAAGCAGAAAACCACACCCCAGCAACATTGGCAAAGCAACTATCATATATAAACAGGGAGAAAACCCCACACTCAGTAGTACTGAAAATGTTACCTAGTTGGGTATTAAAATGTCTGCAAGCAAAAAAACCAATGTCAGAGAGCACCAAGGACTCCATAATATCATAAAGTGACTAACAGAAGTAGGTCAAGTGTTGTTGTGGAGAAGGCTTATTAAGTGGATTATTTTCATTCCACCTTCCTGGAATTAGAGTTCAACATAAGTGCCTGGTCATCAAATCATTAGCAATCAAGATCTCCCGACTATTGCTGCTTAATAACAGAACAGCCTTTATAATAGGGCATTCGTCATCCACAATTTTGCCATGAATGGCAGAGTCAATCTGGAATGTATTAAAACACAGATGGGCATGGATGGGGGGTGAGACTCCTCTCAGAAATGTCCTCACCAGGGCTTGAAGTACATGTGAGTTGTGGTCCAGAGCTAGTGTGTGGGAGTGGTCATTATCTTGGAAGCTCGTAATGCTTTTAAAAATGCTTGATGAAAGACCTTGTTTGTGAAATTTAGCTCTATGGAACAGATGGGATTGCTGTTGTTTCCTTCTGTGTAACAATTGAGTTGCTTAACTTTGGGTTGATAGGGAAACTTCCCAGACTGAGTCATGGGAGATTTCAATCTGCCTTCTTGGTTCTAAAGTCTGAAGCAGCTTGGAAGTTCATTACTATCTTGGCAACATGACCTGATGACTGAGGACTTAATACAAAAGGAGTCACAGGTTGGGTGTGGGGTTTGTCTTGGAGAAAGGACAAGGTGATATGGGAATAAAGTATGTTATTTGTCCCTTGTCAAAGCTAGATCACTCTGAAATGTTCAGTATCTGCTTCTTCAGGGAAGACTTCTTTGCTTAGTCCATCCCTATGCCTGATGAACCATACTCAGTTTTAGAGGGTGGTTAGAGAAGTATCCGAGAATCTGTTGTACACCTGGCCTAAGGTCTTAGTTATAAGTTACTAAGTTATATTAGTTATATAGATATGATATTGATCCCTTTCAGGTTTCAAGTCTGAAACATCATTGACATGGCATTGGGGTGTATGTATATCCTACCCTTTCTTAATTTCATAGCAGCTTTCAATATCACCAATGATGGTATCCATTTGGAGTTGCCCAGGTGGTTAGATGTAGAAGACATTGTGTTTCAATGTTCTTCTTCTCCTGGGACCTTTTCTAGTCAGTGATGGGTAGAGATCTAGCCCTCAAACTTTGCTTTGCAGGGTACCTCATAATTTCATGTTTACTTTCCTCCCATTAAATATTCAATAAGCCATTCTCCCTAGATATATGTGTTTTCAGTCTCAGGAAGTTTAAAAGCCAGCCATGCTATGGAAAGATAGGGAATTATAATCTCCAAACATAAAATGCACGGAGTTGGGAATGCTGCAGTAACATCTATAAAAATTAGAGAATCTTGCTTCTGTTAAAAAGTGAAGCCTCTCTCATTATTTATCTTTTTTTAATTTTTACATCAACAGTTTTGCAGAAAATGAACCTTGAGGTGATTGCAATTGTGACACACACTTATTACAGTAAGATTAGCGTAATTGTTTAACTCTCAAATTATGAAATTTACTACATGTTTAGTTATCATTGGTAGACCTGTTGTAGTGGCGCAGTGGAACCATGGTAGCACAATGGTTAGAATGCAGTAGACTATTTCTGCTGACTGCTAGCAGTTTGGCAGTTCGAATGTCACAAGCTCAAGGTTGACTCAGCCTACCATCCTTCCGAGGTTGGTAAAATGAGGAGCCAGATTGTTGGGGACAATATGCTGACTATGTAAACCATTTAGAGAGGACTGTGAAGTGATATATCAGCCCAAGTGCTATTGCTATTGCTATCATTGGTAGATCTGCTTCCAAATCAAAGTTTTGAGATGATGATGATGATGATGATGATGATGATGATGATGATGATGAATTACACAGTCAGCTAGATGTTCAGACTGGGTTCGGCATTTTTTTCACAAATACAAATCTCATTCATATTTTAAAAGTGCATTGGCATCGATAAATATATATATATATCATATAAACCTTATTATATGCATCTTTTCCTTATATACATCACATATCTATTGTATCTATCTATATTTGTTTCTATCTACATATCTTATATTTTATGTGTCTATCATAT